TTAAAATGTTGAAAAAGACCACCAGGTTATTTCAGGCACAGAAAGGGCCACTGACAATTTGTAAGCTAAATGATGGCTTTTGTCACAAGAAATAATCTCTGGAAAAATTTATTTACAGTCATTCAGGAGGATTAAAATTATGCATTCTAAAATGTCAAGAACTTTGCATTTAATTTTAATAATTTAACTTCGAAAAACTCCTGATTAAAAATATAGCATGTAATATCAATCTTCAAAAAACTTCTGATGGTATTCTCCTATGAACTTGTTTATAAAATTGACTGGGACGAGTTTAGACCTGAATTATGCGAACTCCACAACATTGCTTGGTTAAACCTTAAAGACTTGTAAACTTTTCCCCATTTTAAAATTTTTTTGTCATTTCAGTAACAATATGTCCGTCCTGTAACTTTAAAAAAGAGGCTTCCCTTACTTTTGCTATTTCAAATTCAAGATCTATTTAAGAAAAATTCAAAGCTTTTTTTCATTTCTGTATGTTGTTAACATTTAATTGTTAGTTCAATGATACAAAATAACGTGAATTTATAGTTATAAGTCCTTTCAGTAAACATTCATTAGTCCTTGCAGTAACAAGCATGTCCTTTGAATGTAACAGAGATTGATTTCTAGTTCTGCCATTTAGCAACATAGTAAAAAGTTTATTTTTGCAATTCAGATTGATAAAACTTACTCTGTTCATAAAAATAGAACAAGAAAAAATGATATTCTTATGTGCGTGTGAAACATACTGAACATTGTGTTTTACTCAATTTCCTGTTTTGTTTACATTTTGAAGACGAAAAAAAGTATTTTTTGTAGAGAAAAAAATACATCTATAAAAAAATCCCATTTCAGACTTAACCTGAAATTTATATAAAGTTGTGTTGTTTGTTTTTGGTTTGTTGTTTAGATATTATTATTTTATTAAAAATGTAAAAAACGTTATCGTTACTGCAAAGACAAACAATGGTCCAATATTGACCTTCTGACAATCATAACGATATAAAAGGATCCAAGTTTTATGTTGCCACTTTGTAAAACTAGCTTTCAAATTCATATGCTTACTAGATGAGATAAAACATTGCAGCTAAATAAGATATTCATTATTTGAATAAAATCAGAACCCTAATTCAGGCGAAATTTGATATTAGCTCATATCATATAATGGTAAGATCAATATGAACAAAAACTCTAGTAAACTCAGCACAAATATTTGTTAAATCGCTGATTCAAATTCTACATAAAATTTAACATTATTCTAATTGTTAATGAGTAGAAGTGTTTTAAACTTGTTTTAAGTATTTTCATATTAATTGTTTCATATTTTAATACAAAAAGTCATAGAGCTTTACAATCGTCTTGTAAATATTTTATGAAAAATAAACAATAGTTTTACCACACAAGACTCTTGGTTTTTGTTTTGATAGTGTGGTGTTTTTATATTTTAAAAATTTTTAAATTGGGAAGAACTAAATCATTAAATTTACGTAATATAAGACAGCAGGTCTTTTCATGGTTTTAAGTAATATTTATTTCATAAACCCCCGTCGCTGTGTACTTAGGCTTCTCGTTACTAAAAAGTGTTTGGCTTTTCAACCGTAATATCACCTATGGTTCGAAGAAATGAATTTGGGACAAATATGTCATAAAACTGATTTACATTACTTCCTTTTGCCTGGGTTTTGTTCTCCCTTTTTCTTCGAATTTCCTCGTTTTGAGCAGTTGGGTGAAAGTAATTTGGATCCTGAAATAAAACAACAAAAGTTGTTTTGTAATATTTTATTACAAGGTAAAATACATGTATCTTAGTTAAATATGAGATGTTCTCTTTAAAATGACAATCAAGTAGCAATTTGTTTTGAATTCTAACTGGTATTCTTCATAAAAGTTTAAACATTTTAATCAAAAAGAATAAAAAGTTTCATTGTTAATAAATGAATTTTTACACGGTAAATTATGTTTCTCTGTGGCTCTCATCTGGGCATTGGACTAACCATTGGCTTGTTTCGTTTAAATTGTACTTTCGGGTCTTTGCAAATACGGCCTTGAGATTCTGAAAATAAATACTCGGATTGAGAATAATTTGATATAATTAATGCCCTTTTGAATTGTTTGAGTGAAACTCGAAGATAATGTGCTAAAATGGAAATGTTTTTTAATATTACAATCTGGAAAGTAAATTAGATTTTCTCAAACATAAATTCATGTCCACGTATGTTTCAATGAAATATATGGTTATAAATTTTATTATGGTGGTCATAAACGTATAGTTAAGAGTAAATTCATATAAATCTCAATATAAGATATATAAAAATGACAAGCGACAAGTATATACTTGGTTTAAGGCCAAATGTACTAAAGATCCTCTAGCTTTGTCTATTCTTTCATCGCCATGTGTTCCAAAAGTTTAAATCAATATCGACACATTCTGTACTTTGGTCGGACAAAAACTTCATTTTTTCGTCGTTTTCATTTATTTTATGTTGAGGAAGGCCGGCTTTTTCAGCATTCACTTTCGCACCATTTTCAAACTGACATTTAGCTGCAATAAAATATGTTCATATGGAAAAAAATATTATTTACTCACCGCAGATTAGAATTTATTTCCGGATTATTGTTTTAAATCTTTTGTACATTTTTTTCCAAAAGAGGCTGAGACCAGTTTTAGGTCTAAATTCCCATGACCTTATTATGTAGACAAATTAAAACCTAAAGGATTCCGGTGCCTTATAAGAATATAAAGCATGTCATATCGGAAGCAGAAAAAAATAAAACGCCAAGATGTTTCAAAATAACTTTAGTCAAACGCTTAAACGCCGGCAGTTTGGTAGCATTTTACTATCAATCATTTACATACATTATTTCAACGTGAAAGTTCTGTTCTAAACTTTATAAAAATACATAAAAACTTTTATCCCAGATTACATATTTAACAATACTTGAATGATTCCAGCAGAAATCTATACCACGAATAGATGTCAAATTTAATAACATAAATATTAGCCACACGTTAAAATACTTACATGAAGATGTCTCATTAACTCCCTTGTCTTCTTTTTCAGACGACCTTCTTCTGTTCCAAGAAAAAAATTAGACAATATCAGATTAATAATGAATGACAAGTTGTGAAGACATGAAATATTTTCATTGCGCAATACTCAGCGACTAAAAGTCACTCCATTATGGTCCAAAAATCCTAAATACATAACATTTTGTTACAAAGATCAGTTAGGTCACTCATTACAGAAATATATAGTACAATAATTGAAGAAATTTTCTCAGAAATAACTTGAAAATTGTATTTTTGTGCTAGTCTAAACCCGCTATATGTGAAAAGCAACGCTTTTCAATTTTTGGTCGTTTTCAGCAATTTGAATTGCTATGAAACTATAAAAAGGTTTCAATACTGTTCAAACTTGGCACAAATGCTACCTGGACCATGACCTTTGTAACAGCATACTCAAGTTTATATTTCCTGTTACCATGGCAACGATGGGACATCTCAAAATTGCCAAAAATCACTATTTTGCGTTGATTTTCCATCAAAACTGAGTTCAAAGTGCTGCAACTTCTCAATGGATTAGTATTGAGTCAAAAGTTTTCCAGCGTTGGTTAAACGTTACCTTTAGGTCGACCTGAGGCCTCTTTAGCCTCTTACAATACATTTAGGGCAAACATATGGCATTTCCCATGTACATAAAGTTCGTTCCCTATTCCTTATTCCTTTTTCGAATAAGGAATGAGGAATCAGTTCCTTATTCCTTTTTCGAATAAGGAATAGGGAACTAGTTCCTGATTCCTTATTCAAATCTAAATAAGGAACACCAGAATAAGTATTTATTTAAAATAAAATTTATACCTCATTCAAATCATTACATAAGGAATCTGCATAAATTATTTTGAAAAAAAAGTAAAAGTCGAATACGGAATAGGGAACCAGTTCCTTATTCCTTATTCAATTCCGAATAAGGAACAGAAGAAAATACGTAAAGAAAGACACCAGTTGCAATTATTTTTGATGAATATGCATTAGAATTGCAAGGATCAATCATTAAAATCATGAAATAAAGCATCTTCATAAAAACATTTTTGAAAAATATGTTAAAGTTGAATAAGGGATAGTGAACCAGTTTCCTATTCCTTATTCAACTCCGAATAAGGAACAGAAGAAAATACGTAAAGAAAGACACTAGTTGTAATTATTTTTGATAAATCTGCATTAGAATTGCAAGAATCAATCATTAAAATCATGAAATAAAGCATTTATATAATTCTATTTTTAAAAAATGTAAAAGTCGAATAAGGAATAGGGAACCAGTTCCTTATTCCTTATTCAACTCCGAATAAGGAACAGAAGGAAATACGTAAAGAAAGACACAAGTTGCAGTTATTTTTCATAAATATGCATAAGAATTGCAAGAATCAATCATTAAAATCATGAAATAAAGCATTTACATAATTTTTGTAAGTCGAATAAGGAATAGGGAACCAGTTTCTTATTCCTTATTCAACTCCGAATAAGGAACAGAAGGAAATACGTAAAGAAAGACACCAGTTGCAGATATTTTTGATAAATCTGCATTAGAATTGCAAGGATCAATCATAAAAATCATGAAATAATGCATCTGCATAAAAAGTATTATGGAAAAAAAAAATGTTCAGGTTCATTCGACTCTGAATAAGGAACAGAAGTAATTACGTAAAGAAAGACAGCAGTTGCAATTATTTTTGATAAGTCTGCATTAGAATTGCATGGATCAATCATTAAAATCATGAAATAAAGCATCTACATACTTTTTTGAGAAAAAATGTTAAAGTCGAATAAGGAATAGGGAACCAGTTCCTTATTCCTTATTCAACTCCGAATAAGGAACAGAAGTAATTACGTAAAGAAAGACACCAGTTGTAGTTACTTTTGATAAATCTGCATTAGAATTGCAAGGATCAATCATAAAAATCATGAAATAAAGCATAAACATAAAAATATTTCGGAAAACAAATGTTCAGGTTCATTCGACTCCTAATAAGGAACAGAAGTCATTACGTAAAGAAAGACAGCAGTTGCAATTATTATTGATAAATCTGCATTAGAATTGCAAGGATCAATCATTAAAATCATGAAATAAAGCATCTACATACTTTTTTGAGAAAAAATGTTAAAGTCGAATAAGGAAAAGGGAACCAGTTCCTTATTCCTTATTCAACTCAGAATAAGGAACAGAAGTAATTACGTAAAGAAAGACACCAGTTGCAGTTACTTTTGATAAATCTGCATTAGAATTGCAAGGATGAATCATAAAAATCATGAAATAAAGCGTAAGCATGAAAATATTTCGGAAAACAAATGTTCAGGTTCATTCGACTCCGAATAAGGAACAGAAGTCATTACGTAAAGAAAGACGGCAGTTGCAATTATTATTGATAAATCTGCATTAGAATTGCAAGGATCAATCATTAAAACCATGAAATAAAGCATCTACATATTTTTTTTCCGAAAAAAAATGGTAAAGTCGAATAAGGAATAGGGAACCAGTTCTTTGCTAATGCTTTATTTCATGATTTTTATGATTGATCCTTGCAATTATAATGCAAATTTATCAAAAATAACTGCAACTGGTGTCTTTCTTTACGTAATTTCTTCTGTTCCTTATTCGGAGTTGAATTAGGAATAAGGAACTGGTTCCCTATTCCTTATTCGACTTTAACATTTAAAAAAAAATTATGTAGATGTTTTATTTCATGATTTTAATGATTGATCGTTGCCATCTTTATGCAGATTGATCAAAAATAATTGCAACTGCTGTCTTTCTTTACATATTTTCTTCTGTTCCTTATTCGGAGTTGAATAAGGAATAAGGAACTGGTTCCCTATTCCTTATTCGACTTTAACATTTTTTTTAAATATGTAGATGCTTTATTTCATGATTTTAATGATTGATCCTTGCAATTCTTATGCAGATTGATCAAAAATAACAGCAACTGCTGTCTTTCTTTACGTAATTACTTCTGTTCCTTATTCGGAGTCGAATGAACCTGAACATTTTTTTTTTTTCAAAAATACTTTTTATGCAGATGTTTTATTTCATGATTTTTATTATTGATCCTTGCAATTATAATGCAGATTTATAAAAAAAATAACTGCAACTGGTGTCTTTCTTTACGTATTTCCTTCTGTTCCGTATTCGGAGTTGAATAAGGAATAAGGAACTGTTTCCCTATTCCTTATTCGACTTTAACATTTTTTTTCAAAAAAAAATATGTAGATGCTTTATTTCATGGTTTTAATGATTGATCCTTGCAATTCTAATGCAGATTTATCAATTATAATTGCAACTGCTGTCTTTCTTTACGTAATTCTTTCTGTTCCTTATTCGGAGTCGAATGAACCTGAACATTTTTGTTCCAAAATATTTTTTTGCTAATGCTTTATTTCATGATTTCTTTTATTGATCCTTGCAATTATAATGCAGATCTATCAAAAATAACTGCAACTGGTGTCTTTCATTTGGTAATTTCTTCTGTTCCTTATTCGGAGTTGAATAAGGAATAAGGAACTGGTTCCCTATTCCTTATTCGACTTTAACTTTTTTTTTTCAAAATAAATTATGTAGATCTTTTATTTCATGATTTCAATGATTGATTCTTGCAATTCTTATGCAGATTGATAAAAAATAAATGCCACTGGTGTCTTTCTTTACGTATTTCCTTCTGTTCCTTATTCGGAGTTGAATAAGGAATAAGGAACTGGTTCCCTATTCCTTATTCGACATTAACATTTTTTTCAAAAATAAATTATGCAAATGCTTTATTTCATGATTTTAATGATTGATTCTTGCAATTCTAATGCAGATTGATAAAAAATAACTGCAACTGGGGTCTTCCTTTACGTATTTTCTTCTGTTCCTTATTCGGAGTTGAATAAGGAAAAGGGAACTGGTTCCCTATTCCTTATTCGACTTTAACATTTTTTTCAAAAATATTTTTATGCAGATGCTTTATTTCATGATTTTTATGATTGATCCTTGCAATTCAAATGCAGATTTATCAAAAATAATTGCAACTGGTGTCTTTTCTTTACGTATTTACTTCTGTTCCTTATTCGGAGTTGAATAAGGAATAAGGAACTGGTTCCCTATTCCTTATTCGATTTTTTTTCAAAATAATTGATGCAGATTCTTTATGCAATGATTTGAATGAGGTATAGATTTTATTTTAAATAAATACTTATTCTGCTGTTCCTTATTTAGATTTGAATAAGGAATGGGGAACTAGTTCCCTATTCCTTATTCGAAAAAGGAATAAGGAACTGATTCCTTATTCCTTTTTCGAAAAAGGAATAAGGAATAGGGAACTAACTTTATGTACATGCATTTCCCCACTACTTTAGGTACAATTAACAATCACGAACAAAACTTTTCTTTTAATGTATAACAATATATATTGCAAACATAATTTAACTTGGAGAAGGTTTTTTCAACCTTATTCACTCTTTCTAACCAATTGACATAATAATTTCGAACTAAATTTCTGGTTACCTCATTCTAGCTTTTAAGTCAAACTTTTAACAAAACGAAACATAAAGTTGGCTGACTGGAGAAAGACAATATTTAGATAAAAGGTACTTGACTAATATGCTTTGTCTATTTGTGATTAGACAATTATACTACATATGAAAGACACGGTAACACAATATAACATTAATATCCATTTTATATTGTATATTAAAAGTAAGAAAAGTTACTTTCATAAAGTTGTTTCGAAATAATCGGCAGCAGAACCTAGAAAGACAATAGGTATTTGTTATAATTTTATGTGAATTACGGCATTAAAATGTTTTAAAGCATAAATAGATTTCTTTTTCTTAAAGAATAAAAATTTAAAGATTGTCAATTTGTTAAGAAATAAACTGCTCAATTATTTTAATAAAACACGACTCAGTTTATTTTTATTTTTTTCCATTTCAAAATGATTAAGAATTGAAAAGGCTGAGAATCTAACTTTACCTGCTTCGAAAGTACTTGTCCTTGTGATGTACAATTACTGTTATTACTATTATTGCAAAAACACTAAGCGTAGCAACTACTATATATATGTATACGCTGCTGTTTAATTGTTCTTCATCTGCAAAGGGAATCAATTTATTGCATTTTGTAGTTTGACTACACTTTACCAGGAATAGAAAAATAAAAACTTAGTTAAAATACAAAGTACAAAATTAGTTAAGATCAGAAACTTCATTAATGATATTCCTATGTTAAGTAAATTCCTATGCATACTAGTTTGCAGCATAGGATGTCAAAACCAGAGATTGTCAGCTTTCACGCCCACCTTTTAAGTTAATTTGTGTCATTTATTTTTAGAGATAAAACGACAATAAACCTTCATCTACAAAATTTAAACTACTTGTTGGTATATCGTTTCGACGGACAATTCTATGAAAACAATAACCACCAAATATAAAATACAGTATATTCATAAAAGCATTTGCTTGAGTCTGAATGTATACATGTAGGAAAGCCACAAATTGTACTTTAAAAAAATGATTTCCCAAGAATGTTTTTTCAGGAAACCTATTTTTTGAAAAATTTTCATTTGAAGTACTAAAACAAAATCTAAGGATATGTCTCGATCTCAGTATGCTGTTCAAGTGTCATAACAGAATTAGGATTATAATGCAAAAACCATAACATTTTAAGTCATTAGTACGAAAATATATTCATGGTGAATAGAAAAGGGAAAATCATTATATACTTGTATATGCAATCAGATCTGAGTGACATGCTATGGAAACACAACAGATGTTGGAAGACTAAGTTCGCCCTTCAAAATAATTATGTATGTGTTATCGGACAAATGTCAACTTTGTAAAAAGGGGGAAATTGTCATGTTGTCCGAGGCAGGATATTTATCTGCAAACAAGAGGAAATAAGACAATAATACCTTGTTCTACAATTATATATTTCTGGCCAGAATACTCTGAACTGAATGACTCTATGCTCTCATTCCCGTACATCGCTGTGACTTTCAAATAATAATTCCCTTCAACACTGGCCGTAGCGGCAATTATTTCTGAATAGTATACTTGCATGCCATTTCCGCAATCAGAATCATTTGCACAACTTGTATTGCTTCTGACTATGATTTTTGGATTGATTTCTGTTTCAACATTACTATTAGCCTAGAAAAAATAAAGATATAACATGTCAAACTGTGAAGTATCATGTGTGTCATTAAACATTAGAGCGGGTGTGGGTATTAACGAACACTTAAGGTGAAATAAGTAGTATTCGATAATACACGCAGTACTCGCCTTTGACAAATATGAGTTTTCTTTTACATAACACATATCTACGCACTTTATCTATAGAGTTAAGGCATTCTATATATTAGACCTGACATCTTCTTTTACCGACCATATGTGTGTAATACCGAACACACATGCGTATATTTCCGAACACTGCCAACATTTTAATTAAACATGTTAATCTTCACACCTGAAATATGAATAGATTTATAACAATATCATTTCATTATTGATACGAGCAATATTTATTTCACAAGTAGTCACTATTGAACCGTGTATTACTTGTTCAAATGTGTTATTAAATGATTTATAGACCTATTAATTTTTATCCAATAACAGCTGACCATGTGATCTTAACAATATTTCTACTAAAAAGGAATTCCATCTCTATTCATGTATTTGTCAGATACTTAGGTTATGTGAAGCCCAGTAAATCTGTATCCTTTAACTTCTCCTCAAGGTTGTCTTTGAAATAAAAAAAAATCTTTTAACCTTTTCTTCGGAGACAATCGCTCTCACTTTACCAATGGTTCGAAGGGTCAGTTCAAAGTAACCCTCCAGCCAAGATCTACCGGGTTCGTTTTCACGAAAGACCGTACACTTCACCATCTAGTATTTTCAAGAGAGAGAGTTTCTAAAAAAAAAAGCTTTTCAAGCTTTCTACTCAATCCGTACACTTTATTATTTGTCAATTATCATGTAAATATAATGTATTGTTTAAACTAAGTATTTTCAAATTCAAGAGTGTGCAAGCTCTTGTCTTGTGCGTCAAGTAGCCGATATGTCATATGTACATGGCCAATTAACAGTGAGTCTTTCCTCAGACCAAATGTTGCATCTCTCTACACAAGAGGTACCAAATCTTGTAGCATTCTCATACTTAATGACTTGTGTATTTCATAGGGACAGTATTGTGAGGGTAAGACTTTTGGATCCCATAATTTTTTGATGCTTGGTTTCAACTAATAGAGTTTGAACGAACATGGACAAGCATTTCTGTTGAATATAACTTCCGTTGTGCGCCTATGTGCCTGTTTATTCATAAAAAGAAAATTGAAAGGAACTATCTATAATTGTATTTGTCTGTCTGATCTTTTTTTACTTTAACTGTGCTATTTATTAATCTATTTATTTATTTATCTTTCTATCTATTTGTTAAATGATTGATTGATAAATTGATTGATTGATTTGTTGAATGAATTAATTAATTAATAATTGATTAGTTATTTTGATTTATATATTTATTAGAATTTATTTATTTTTTTATTTATTTATTTATTTATTTATTTATTTATCTATTTAGATGTATAAAATTATTTATTTTACAACTAGATCTATAACTATATTAAGATAAATTTATTAAGCTATAATAATGATAACTGTGTTGTTTTAATCATTGTGAGCACTGTAGGAGCACATTTGTTACAGAGCACATTTGTCTCACGTAAGACCGATGCGGTCGCATTTATCCCAAATGACAAATGGTACCTTAAATGTCTACCCAAAACACATTTGTGTGGTACCTTAAATGTCTACCCAAAACACATTTGTGTGACAAATGTGCTCACTTTATCAAATACGACTTTGCTCGCATTTTTCTACCAAAATGTCAAAAAAAACATATTCATGATGAAATTTAAACAGAAAACAACTTTAATTAAATTAAGAAGTCTATGGCCATGCAGAGTGAAAAAATACAGTCAAATAATCGGTAAAGGGAAGAAGGGATCCTGAAAAGTATCAGCTCAGGAAAATTCGGTTTACGAAGAACGTCGCAAAATTTCGTACGGGGTGAGTCTAAATTCAAACTATCACGTTCCATTCCATTCTGTATAAGTCTGGCAAAAGTCGATATTATATGAAATAAGTAGGAAAATAAACGCAATTCTCCCATCTAAGTTTATTCGTTTAACAATAAATGTTCTTCAAAAATAAATTGAAATAAAATATGGAATTTTGCCATGCAATTAAAAACTATTTTGATATTGTTTCTGGCCAAACAGAGTTACGAAGTGATTCGGTAATGTACCATTATTGAATAAACATAACGGTACGAACATAACACGGGAACCGGTATGGTAAATAATCTGACAATTAATAATAGGGGATCTTCAAAAATAATACGAATATCTGATAAAATGCTATAAAAGGAGTATCTATCATGAGACCAGGAGATCGAGAAAGTACCATACATGATATACAATAAAATAACCTTGTGATTAAATTAAGTACCATACTGGATGCAATATAAAACGAAATCCTTTAAAGCTAAAGGGGATCCATTAAGGTTCAACATATAAAAGATCATTACAAAAAAATAATGTATTGGCTTAAGGACATGTACATTATTATCAAATATCCTTACATGAATGTTTTGGAGGAACAAAGAAAAAGCTTACAAAACATGTGAACCATTTTGATAAATCACTTGGATATTTGATATAATGTCATCATTAAAGGGGATCTTACTAAGGTACCAGGAGATCCAGAAAAGTACCATACTTTATGCATCATAAAACGGGATCCCATAAAATAACACAGGGATCAGATAAAGTACCGTTCTTGATGTTACATATAGCAGGATCCTATAAATTAAAAGAGGATCGGTGAAGTTCCACATATAAACAACAATTTCACAAGCTCTTATAGAGCAACTTATAAGTTCGGTAAACTACAATTTTTCTAAAAATCATCACTAGGATCTTTTGGAGGAACAAAGTAAAAGAAAAGATATAATGCCAAAAATAAAAGAACTACAAAAAAGGATACTATTATGAAACTAGAACATCGGAAAAGTTCCATACTTTATGTTCTATTAAACATGATTCTATTAAGTAGCCAGGGAATCAGATAAAGTACTTTACTTAATGTTACATAAAGCTAGATCCTGTAAAGGTGAAAGGGATTCGCCAAAGTGTCCATAAATGAACAGCAATACCCTTGGCTCATTTAAATGAGGGATTTGGTAAAAATGACAGGGAGTTTATGAAGAAATAACCTTCACCCTTCATAACTTGGGAAATGTTAGGATAAATTACTTGACATTAAATATAAGGGGATCTGGATATCATATATTATGCTTTATATAAATGACTACCAAAGGAGAACAATTAACAAGCCAGGAGTTCCAGATAAGTATCATAAAACTGGATCCCATAAAGTAACCAGGGGATCAGAAAAAGTACCGCCCTTTTACATGATTAGATCTGATTAAATGCTATTATTAAAGATAATTGAAGGGAAACCTATTAAGAAACAAGTAGATTAAGAAAAATACAATATTTGATATGTCATAAAATGGGATCCCACAAAGTATCAGGCGATCATAAAAAGTACCGTTCTTGATGTGACAAGAAACAGAATCCTTTCTTGTAACAGTATGTAGGGGATCAGATAAAATACATACCTTGATGTTACATAAATCGGGATCCTTTACAGGAAAAGGGGATCAGATTAAGTTTCACATATAAACAACCATTACACGAGCTCTTATAGAGCAACTATGGTGACGGGTAAATAAAAAATTATATATAATTACTGTCATCTTTTTCAGAAACAAAGTAAAAGAAACGTCCTTCATCTTTCTTAAAGAAGAGGTCTTAAAGATAATTAGGATATCGGATAAAATGCCATAATCAAAGGACTACAAAATCAGACCGATTAACATACCTAGGAGATCAAGAAAAAGAATCACAAAAGGGATCCCATAAATGAGCCTGGGGATCAGGTAAAATACCTCACTTGATGTTATATAGAGCGGGATGCGTTTTATGGGTTATGTTCATAGTTCATAAATAAACCGCTACTATACATAGGCTCTTAAAGAGTATTTAAGTGATCCGATAAAGTACTATTTTGAATAATTATTACAAGGACGTTTTCGAAGAACAGAGTAAAAGAAACGTCCACCATCATTCGTAACACGGGTATCGGGTTTTTAAATTATCTGACAATTTATATGAAGGGTTGTCCAAAATAAATAAGAACATCTGATCAAATGTCATAACTTAAGAAATATTAAATGGGATCCTATTCAGAAACCCGGAGATCCAGAACAGTACAATACTTGGTGTATCATAAATCGGGATCACTTAAAGTAACCAGGGCGTCATATGAAGTATCATAGTCGATATAAAACGGCATCTTGTATGGTAAGGGGATCCGGTAATGTTGAATATATAAACAACTATTACACGGGCTCATATGCATTGAGAAAAGTACTTTATGTTCAAATATCATTATAGGAACCTTTTAAAGAAACAACCTTAAAGAAACGTCCTTCATCTCTCGTAACATAAGAACTTATTAATATGTTAAATTATCTACGTTTTATATAGGGGGCTTTTCAAAAATAACTATAGTCTGTCCCATTAAGAATGGAAATGAACTTTTGCCTGGTATGAATTAACAAAACGAGTTTGAATAAAAATTTAACTATTTTTGTCATCCTCGAGATTTTTTCAGGATTTTTCTCTAAAGTGTCTACTTTTCTTGTGAAAGCAAATTTTGATTTCTCTATGGTAAATCTCTGTTGTTAATTTTCCGTAGCCATTGCCGAAGTACTCTTCATTTCAAGATGAACGGGAGAAAGCGCGTGTCATGTTTCTAAAATACACATGAGGTTCTCGGGGTCGTTTCATGATTATTTTACAAAGCTGGATCTACAAGGTGTAACAGTTTAGTTGCAATGCATGATGGAAAACTTTTTTAAAAAATGAAAAATAAGCAACAAGAACACCGAGTCACATGGAGTAGATCTAGAAATTGCACTTGTACTTTTAAGCTGAATGGAATCCCTATGAATTTCGAAATTGATCTTTATAAACGTCACGAAAAATTCGCATTCTGAAGATTCTTCATTGCCATTTTCTATCCAGTTCCGTAGCTCTCATTTTTTACTTTAAAACTCCTGAATGACATGACTCCTACACTTATGATGATCCAGATGTTTTAAACTGCTATACGACTCATTATTAAAACATTGTTTCAAATTTGT